ATTTTTTCGACAAACTGTTGAATCCAAAACTTTTTGTGCAACTGATAAAATCGTCCAGGTTCTTCACGGGCAATCTTAAAACCAAATTAGAAGTTTATGACATCTTGAAACCGACCCATTACACCTTGTCTATTTTTCATTCATCGCGTGTTGCTGGGCCATACGAACTCGGTTTGTCAAGCGTGAATTACCTTGATCGCTACTCGTCTTGTGTAGACTTCCGGGAGAATCGTTTACTTTCAAACGAGGAAGAAGAGTATGCGAGATGTGAAAAAACTCTTCCTTCACTTCATGTATTCAAAGGCCTTGTAATTTTACGAGTCGGCATTCTCGCACCCCTGTCCTGAACCAATCTTCAGAGGGACTCGCATTAAATACGGTTAGGAACCACTGGTCTAGGCATAATATGTTTGAAGCTGTGACCAAATCACAAGTGATTTATTGCTTGTTTGAATATGTAAAACCAGTGTTCAAGAGTAAATCAATGCTCGGAAACTGAGCAGCGAGAATCAGAGAACATTTATCTATTTGATGGTTATTACTTATCGATCTTAAGATCGGTAAGTATATTGATAGGTATTTGTCTGTATGTCTGTCTGTCTGTGTGTGTGTCTGTTAGATGCACGCGATATCTCACGAAAGCGAGATTGAATCTGCTCCAGATTTTGCATGTGCATTCATCTTATCTCGGACCAGAAGCCTATTGATTTTGGGCGAATTATGTCGTATAATTAGCGAGTTATCAATCAATTATTGATATAGTGATCCAGGGGATCCCCTAACTATCGATCGATAAGTCTTCGGTTTCCAACCGATATTCTCGGTTAATTTTTTATTCGGTTACTTATAGCCGCTGTTTTCATTTCTTCCATAAGAATTTAAGCGTTCGAAATTATGTTTTCCCAGAAACTGACCGATTAAGGCAGACACGAGCTGGTTTTGGCCGTTAAATTCATTTTTTATTTGGGTGGACTCTTTGTGATTATGACTATTGATAGGCGTGGACTCAATCGGAGGTGCGAAAGCGTGTCAATGTTATCAGGATAACATTGGGCAGGGGTGGGCATAATTTTTTAGTATAAGAGCCGCATGCTTTTAATAATATTATCAAAATACCATGAACAGAAATTCACAGAAGAGTCTAATAACAATGAATAGATAAACAAGGCAGCTATGCTCAAATATATGCACAATTTGAGCTCATTCAATTTGTGTTTCCTTATAGCTGATTTACGAGGGTAGTCTAGTAAGAAGTTTTCATGATGCCGTTTAACATTGCTGACTTTATTCTGACTTAATAGCTTATGGCAGATTTAGCACAAAGGTTTATTCTCCTGACTGGTAAATGCGTATTCTTCTTCCCATTCTGACTTGACAACTCTGTTTTCATCTTCGTACTTTCGTTTTTTAATTGAGGACATATCGCACAGTAACTTAGACCAGGGGTCGCGACCCAAATTCGGGTCGCAAAACAATTCAAATTTGCCATAAATATAAGCATCGCGTCTGTGAAGCGTATTTATGTACTACAACATTAAAAACCTCTAATTATATTTATGGTTGTTTTCCCAAGCGTCGAGAGTACGTGCAAAATTTTACGTAACAGTGAAGTGCCCTCAGACAGATTTACATGGTTGTGAATATTACATCGTTTTTGCTTGTTATTTGTTGTGTCTGAGTCGCTTCAAAAATTCTGATTGTTATGTCATTGTTGACTTTTTGCTGAATGGCCATTGTTACAAAAATAAATAGGGAAATTGGTGCTCGGAGAAACATCCATTGTATTGTTTCGTAGCAATGCGCTGTCAGAAGTTACTGTGTGGAATTGTCTGATAAAACAGATAATAAGAATTTATGTGCTAAATTTCATATACTTTCGTGCAAAAAAAATGATAGTGTCTATAATAGTCTTAAAATCGATAACTAATTACCTGCTTACCAAGTGCTTGGGTCGGGAAAAATTAGAAAAAAAAATTTTTGGTCGCGCCAAAAATTGGTTGCCGACACCTGACTTAGACTAACTAACCGCAATCAAGCTGCAATACCGCCGACGCATCAATAAACATTGACCATTGTAACGAAAGATTTGCTGACTTGAATTCTAAATTCAACGCTACAGCAATTTTCATACTAAAACATGATTTGTCTTAATCATTGACGAAAACTTCTTTACGACTTTTTATAAATTAAAAGAGTTTACATTAAAGTTTTTCTCTTAGTTATAATTTGGAAAATAATTTAGGTTAGCGAAAAGAGCCGCACAAAAAGTCTGGCGAGCTGCACGCGGCTCGCGAGCCGCGGTGTGCCCACCCCTGACATAGGGTTTATCGGCATATCGTTATAGGATTTTTAGACTTCGCATATTTTTGCCGATTAATGGGTTGTTGTTACGCTATTGTTTTAATTTTTTCACGTCCTGGTATTCTGCTGATTATTTACTTTACTTTTGACAGACTCGTATTTTTCTACTATTTTTATTGTCATTAAATTCACGACACAATAGTTTCAAGACCCGATGACTCATCTCTCTTACTCATTGGGTGCGATTTAGCCTAGTTAAATTCTAAGTGGCAGATTTTTGTAATTTCTGTTAGAGCTCCGTTTGCTTTTTATGTCGGCAGAGAAATGCCAAGGTGACCGAAAAGACTTGTGTCATAGGAGCAATTAGTCCACAACTGTTAGCGAGAATCTTAACTTGTTTATATTTCGATGACGTTCACGTTGTTACGCAGACGTTGCAACGTATCGACGCAGCATTATTGCGAAATAGTCCTGTTTCTCGATTAATCTCGGGGATTCTAAATTATTGTCACGCTGCTTTGATGAGTTGGCACTGTCTGGCTTGTATTCAGTGTAATCTATTACGCTGGGAGTTGTTTATCGTGTTTAGTATTGGGTTTACTATTTGAAGTTTGCGGTTAGGATTAACGATTCGGACTGTTATTAATTGAGTTCAAAATTAAGGGTTTATACTGGGTTTGAAATATAATGAAGGGATGCAGGTTAGGGTTGTATTATACTAGTCCAAATAGAATGATAACTGCTGTTCTTTATATTTAGTCACATAAGTAAAATTTATTTATGTTGGAATATAATTTGTTAAAAAAAAAAAAAAACGGCTGACAAAAAATTGACTAAGCCACATAAAATCGAGCGCAATAACAACTAGAAACGCATTTAATGGCGCATTTGAACTTTGCATATATTTTGCATTTTTACCATACTCTTATTTTGATGTTATGCTCAAGTTCTCACGCCCTCGACCTGTTGCGTTTCATTGTTGCAAGTTGTCATAAACCGTAACAATTTCGTCCAAACGTCCAAATATTTTATATTCCGTGGCGTAGTCGTGTTTGTATGAATTCCTGCTGACTCTTCTCTATCGTTCCTTGCTTGTGACTTGTTCAGGCTTAAATGATAGACTTTGGTAATTGCAGATTTGCTTGCTATTGGTACGGTTACGAATTTCCATGACGACCGAAATTTTCCGCCATAAACCAATTCCACAACACAATATTGGGAAATAAAACTTGCGAAGCGTCAACATTATGGTTGCAAAATGGATTGACACTATCGGTTTTGGCATTTTCAATTTCCAATCCCGCCTTTTTACTTATTTCAGGAATATGGGTTGCACTTTGGGCACCGGTCATTTATTTCGAAATCCTTCGTTTCTTCGGATATAGAGGAATTGTCGGTAGTTTTCCCTTTGAATGTTTGCTAAATTTTTCGGTACAGCTGTGTATCAAATATATATTTATGTCCAACCAACCCTCTTCCAGTGAACGAATTTATGAGAGTGACACGGCCGTAGGATGTGATATGACAGTCCGGTGTTGCACAACCCATGGTCTCTTTGAAATCGGGCAAAAAATTTGAAATGGAGGCCGAATCGTGTTCGTTTGTGATGTATATCGTGGGATATCGAAGAAATATGTTTTTTATCGTTCAAACTACGCAATATCTTAACAGTGGAGTCTATATATTGTCTCGTAAAATATCTATGGTATCATGAGACCACAACACTACTAGCAGGTGTGTGTGATATTTGCTGCAATGTTTCCAGCACCTTTTTCGATTGTTAATCATTGTCTTTTTTTGTTGTTGGCGCAAATGTTCAAGCGACTGCCACTGATCTGGGTGTAAATGTGCTATCACCTAACTATGATGTGGAGTGATATCGTGTGATCCAATGTGCGAGTAATACCAGAAATACTTAAAAAGCCAGATCCCAAATAGTTCATCCAACATTTGTTGCTTTGACTTTATTGCATTATTGCAGTAGTAATGAACATCGATGAGTCAGTTTATTCCAGTAATTACGCACAATTTAATCTAATTTATGAACATCACTCCAAATATTTACTAAATATATAAATCAAACAAAACATAACTTACAAAATAGCAAATTCCAAGACCTAAACGACGGAGGTGCGCTCACTAGAGGATCCACAGATGCCAGATTCTGGGTCGGAAATTACAGCCAAGTTGGCTCAATAGAATATATATTTGGGACTCATCATGTATAAACGGAATAATACATGAAATTAATTATTAGTATCAAATTTTGGATATTAATCACTTCATTTAACCGAATATGAATGTACTACGCTCATAAAATTGAACGATTATCGCAAGACTGGCATGATTGCGGAAAATAGATATTACTACACTCTAAGAAATTTTTACCGGCAATCGCCTGGCACTACATATTACAGGGATGCAGCTGCGAAACTTTAATGCAATTTTAGGGTAAAAATTACAGGAATTTCCGGTAAAATCGCCGTTAATCACCTGTGATTTTCGCAGGATGTTACTAGTAATCCTTACAAGTTTTTTCCGGTAATTATTACCGGCAATCCGTAGTAATATTTACCGACGCTATCCTGTAAATTTACGTTGAAAATCCGGTGAACTTACATTCAAAAACCCGGTAAAAATCACCGTTATCCTCCTGGCATTACATTTTACCGGACATAATCAGTAAATATCACAGGCTATTATAAGAAACCGAATTTATTTACAAATAAAATGAAATTGGAAACTATGCGAATGAAACGGAAAGAAATTGTACAACAGTGATAAACCATGAAGAAAGAAATGGTGAAAATAGTAATAAACCCTGAAGAAAAAAATTGTATAAAAAAAACAGTGATAAACCATAAAATAGAAACACTGAGGAATAGAATGAGTGAAAAAAAACCTAAATTTCATAAAAACAGCTAAAACCTTAAAATAAGAAAATTCCAAATTTTTATATGTCAAATGGATAAGTCACATTATCATCTGAAATATAATTTAAACAGTGAAAAAGTGTAATCTGTCCAAAGCAGTGCAAGTTTCTTTGTATAAAGTTTGTGGAAGTTTTCATTGTTGATGGTATATTGAATTATTGGAATTTTTCCAGTAGGGCCTGAACTTTTGGGTGTAGTCTATTTTCATCAGTATTCTTTTTTGAGCGGGGGGCATTGTCACCAATTCCTGCGAAGTATCTGAAATGGAATGTGTAAACAGGTTCAACGACAAATATACAAAAATAAAAATAACTTTTGACTAAGTTCTAATATTTTTAGCATTAAATACTTGCCGCCAACCAATCTAATGCCCTTGCAAGCCTGAATGCTCGCAGAGTATATCTAATTAAGTGATAATATGATTGTTAAACTAGCATTCAGAATAGCTCACCGTTGTACAAACTCGTACGTTTTCTTTGCCTCCTTCGGGTATTGCATATTGAAAACGTAATAAGATCCAAAGGCGCATGTCACTGCATCGAAGAAATCTGCACATTCAATATATACAGACTTTTCCAATATTACATGTAGCTTGCTAGCATTGATAAGAGAGGTGCCTGAAAATATATTCAAATTATATTCCATTACAATTTTTATCAACATATGCGTAAAGACCGGATATAAAGAAATTGTCTTTTTCCACATTGTGGGCACAAATGGCGTTCTGGATATTAGCCGTGATCATTCACATTATGTCAAAAAGCATGGGATGTCTGTGTAGATACAGACCAATATCATGAAGTGTAGGTTATAACGTTTTTCTGATAAAATTAAACAAAAAAAACATTCTTACCACGAATGATAACTGTTGGTGTTGGCTGCACATCCTCACATATTCTCTCGTCTGTTACATCTTCCTATAGATGGATAAAATAAAGGATTGAGTAATGTATATGATAAAATATATCATTATTATTCCCAAATATCACACCCCATATCGTTAACTGCCAGATGGACCTGACCAAATATTTAACTTACAAATTTAAAATAAACCTCACTAGGAAGAATAAGTAGTTTTTTTACACAATTCCAAAATTGTACCCACATCAAATATCTGGTAAATGGATGATAATTCCTCTTTGAAATAACATGCCAAGAGATCCAGAAATCTCAAAGTTTTTGGAGCTTTACTGATGCTTCTCACATTCGACCTTTATGGATGCAGCCAAATTGTTCATGCCGGAGTAATTTGATGTCTTTAGTTTCCTAAATAGAAATACTGTTACAAAGAAAGCATTGATACAAAAAAGTATTGCTTTATTATACAATGGCTGCTTTGTGAGTTCCCACTACTTCTCTAAAAGAATATACTGGATACACTCAGACTAGGAGTGGCCTGAATATAATAACCAGTTTTTCCGCTAAATCTTAAATAATTTGGAAGGTAAAATTTGTTCAAGAAGTACTTTTTCAAATGTCGCCCCACAAACTATTATTTAAATAAACAATAAAACATTATATAAATATAAACCCGGTACTTCAGAGTATTAAACATTTCTTATTACCTCAAATAAGGAGAAAAGGAGGAGGACTTGTACAATTCCAAACTAGTATATATTTGTGATTGATACCTGTAAATCTCGATCCCATTATTTTCCATACTGCTGCGCAAGAACTGTGTGGAATCACCCCTTCCCTGTAGCCTCGCATAATATTCATACAGATAAAGTTTTTCAAACAAGAATGGCCACTCCAACCGTAAGTCGATTATCATCATGAAACTGTTGATGGTTAATCGTTGAAGGTCGAATGTGGACGCCATTTTTATCAATACCTCCGTGGCATTGTGGTGCTGTAACTTGAAATGTTCTTTTAACCAATCTTGGTTTTTTACCATATCATCTGTATGATCTGTTGATGTTGACTTTTTTTCCGGTCTTCCAAACTTTCGCTCGGCGTTTCATACCCTAGCCTTCGTCTGCTCCTTCTGATCTTTCAAGCAGTTTATATAAGGGCAAATAATCACTGATCCAAATTTAGTATGAGTTTTCAAATGCTTCAAAATTTCTTTCAAATTATCTCCTTTGAAACTACAGGAAGCAATGCAGCAATTTAGATTAACTTCCATGGATTATCAAAATTTAAATACTTTTCATGTGATGTTACTGTGTTGACAAAAATAAAATTGTGATTTTATATTTAGTCTACTACAATATTGTAATACCATAGACAATAATCAATCAATCAATAGGGCAGCGGTCTCAATATCCAGATATCACTGGAAAATAGCAATCGGCTGTTTTTGTCACTAGATTTTAAACAGAAACAGCAGCTTACATACCGGTACCATACTGTTAGCCATTTTTGCCCTTCAATTTATAGAAAGTGTCAGAGAGTAGACAATATACACAAACATTTTCATGCTGAATGTACCAGAACATACCGCTACGACTGTACAACTGTAGTCTATCCGGATACGATATTCTATTACTACATTATCGGCAATCGCTGCAGATTATATGAACTCTGGAACAAATCAAACTTTAAAAGGGATGTACACTTAATGTGACTTGCAGCCTTATACCAATACAGTCTGATAATGTCATTGTACCGGTAGTTATTCTTAAGTTGAAAAAATACTTCAATAACTACTTAACTTATGTACCGGCAATCACTGAATCAGTTCAGACTATCTGTTAGGTACCGTATATCACCAAAATTTTATTAGTTACCGTACCGTTGACCTTAACGTGGCCGATATCGGTACAGTCAGACAGTTAGTCTAAATCTGTAAATGCAGAAATGGGTAAAAAGCAATGCTGCAAGTCCGCAGGTCCGAAAAATATAAACTAGGAAACCCTAGCTCTTGTCTGATCTCAAAAACATATAACGGTACCGTACCGTACCGGTATCCAAAACATGATGCAGTGATGGGTACGGTACCGTACCAGGGTACGGTACGATAGACCAGTACCGTATTCTACGGTACAGAAGTATCGAATCCTATTTAGACAGTAATAGTTGGCACTAAAACAAACACAACACATACATTCTGACATTTGCAAACCCAAATCTGCATATCGCCCAACTATCCTGCTTCCGGTATACGGTAACAATAACAACTGACGATGACCGACAAACGGACAAAGAGCATCGCTCAAAGTCCAATTTTACAAGTCGAAAGACAAAGAATCGGATGGCGTGATGATTCACATGATTTAATACCGCCTCTTATTGGCTGCTGTCTTTTAGCAGTGTGCGCACGCAGTGTTATATACTGCCCCGCCCCCAATGCCTGTAATATTTACCGTTTTTTTCCCGTAAAATCCGTTACCGACTCATTTTTGTAATTTTTTACCCACAAAATGAGGGTAAAATTTACCGAACATTTCTTAGAGTGTACGAAACACTTTTCTGGAACACAACCTAGTGCCCATAATTAAATTGAGGAAACATTTCTTACAGCTCGTGTCTAGCCTCCTCCAAGCATTGACATACGGACATCATCCCGATTACCAGATCGGAAATTACTGCTAGGATTCCTTTAATATAGCCCAAATAACATTCACGAGTCATCTGGATTCTTAACTCTTCTTTAATCCTTTCACGGCGATCACATTATGACATAGCAGACACAATTGATGAGTGTTGCGTTAGTGTCGTAGATTCGACAGAATATACTTTGATTTGTGAAAACTTGGGATATTCCTATGCGTTTTCTTCCGTATGTTCTTCATTAGCATTGCTTTGGTTGCGTACTTTGAAATACGATGTAACGTCATCGCAGATTCACAAAAATGAACAAATGTAATGCAGTTCCGACATGCATATCACAATATGTACACTTTGGACTTGGTGTCTTATTTATTTTATATAATAGACAATTTGTGGGTATTGCCCTCAAAGCAAATATGACATGGAAAGAGTGTAGCCGTGACTCAGTAAGTTCTGTGGTTAAGGGTAACCAAAGTAATGTTTTGCACAGGGCTCTCTTTCAATTCCAAATAGGATTGGAGGAATTTAGTGAAATACGCATTAGATTAAAAGAATTTCTATGCCGTGAAAAGGTCACCAAATCATGAGAGCAGACATAATATTTGATGACAACTCGACAAAAATTTTCATTATATAAGGGATTAATTTTACTACTACCAATAGAATTTTCATGAGCTAAGTATGTTGATGAAGAATGAAAATCATTCAACATAGCAGAATATCTGGCATAAAACGGTGATCGTTCCTCTTGTTTTATATCAACATCTTTTGTTGCAATAAAAAATTCATCAGATGATTCAGTAGCTACATTCTTGAGCTAAGTATGTTGATGAAGAATGAAAATCATTCAACATAGCAGAATATCTGACATAAAACGGTGATCGTTCCTCTTGTTTTATATCAACATCTTTTGTTGCAATAAAAAATTCATCAGATGATTCAGTAGCTACATTCTTGAGCTAAGTATGTTGATGAAGAATGAAAATCATTCAACATAGCAGAATATCTGGCATAAAACGGTGATCGTTCCTCTTGTTTTATATCAACATCTTTTGTTGCAATAAAAAATTCATCAGATGATTCAGTAGCTACATACTTGAGCTAAGTATGTTGATGAAGAATGAAAATCATTCAACATAGCAGAATATCTGACATAAAACGGTGATCGTTCCTCTTGTTTTATTTCAACATCTTTTATTGCAATAAAAAATTCATCAGATGATTCAGTAGCTACATTCTTGAGCTAAGTATGTTGATGAAGAATGAAAATCATTCAACATAGCAGAATATCTGGCATAAAACGGTGATCGTTCCTCTTGTTTTATATCAACATCTTTTGTTGCAATAAAAAATTCATCAGATGATTCAGTAGCTACATTCTTGAGCTAAGTATGTTGATGAAGAATGAAAATCATTCAACATAGCAGAATATCTGGCATAAAACGGTGATCGTTCATCTTGTTTTATATCAACATCTTTTGTTGCAATAAAAATTTATCATATGATTCAGAAGCTACATTCTTTAATATTTCATTAGGTTCAATAATGCATTTTTTCCCAACAAGTAAGTTTGAAAGAGCATTTCTAACGCATTCAGTGTTTTGATAGCAATTGGTTACAATGAAAAAAAGTTGCCACTAAGTTATCGAGCTAACCCAGTGTGTCACAATTGCTGGTTTATGATCACGTATGCTGGTTTTTAGAAAGATAAAATACTTCATCATTGATACAAGAATCATTTTTCTCCAGAAAATTCGATAGGTTAGATATTCTACCACTTAGCGGAAGTTTACCATAAACGTTGCCAGAAGGTAAAAAATCAGTTTGATGGGAAATATGTCCCAAATCGATTTACCCGTGTGAAATTATATATTTAAAAATTGCTTTAGAAATTTTCAGAATGAATTTGGTATTCCCAGGCATTTTTTCAAAACATCTTGTCTGTCCTACATTATTGAAATATTTTGGAAAACTTTCGCAATTCTTAACTTTATCCTTCGAATTCTTGTAATCATTAGATGCGCCCCTTTTTTCGACTGTTCAGCTATTCCGACTTTTCTCTTGAAATAAAATCCGTATTTTACTGAGCAGGTCAACTTATTTGTATTGCATTTATTAAAATAAAATGAACTTTAATCTTAAAGTTTGTTTCGTTCATTGCTCGATTTAGTTAATCAAATTACCAAATACGATATCTCACCTGACGGCTGACGCTATCAATTTTTTTGTCTCACCACGAAATTTTCTCCGCCATGAAAAATGACCTATGTTAAAAAGTTATTAGGATGATGGTATTAGGTGCTACTGTGAAATATATTACAATGTTGATGTACTACGAAGCTCAGATGTTCAGAGTAAATATAAGAACCCTAATCCCATTCTTTACAAGATATCAGGAAAGCTAACCTTTTTGGTCCTCTACATCGAAGTGAGCGTGATTGATTTTATTGCCACCCTTGTGATTTTCTTTTTTTATCTCCTTGGATGTATATCTTGATGCTGCAGCTGAATAAGACAAGGGTGCAAAACTGTCATTTGCCACCGTTGTTGTTGGGCAAGTTAGGGTGTTATCATTGCACCCTACATAAAAACGGAAGGATCAATATGAATTAAGACAAAAGTTCAAAACAGTATTTAATCGTTTATTATTAACTAAATTATTTGTTGCATGACTATTTATAAGGATGCAAATCAATATATTACAATCTAATTTACGAAGGCTCAATTAAAGAGACACATGTACAAAAAGTGAACGGCAACATCAATTATTTTAACAACTCTTAATAAAGTCAAATAATAGAATACAGAAGTGTGATATCATTCACAATTACACACCATTTTTAAAGAATGAGCCAGAATTGATGCCAAGTTGCTGATCAACAGAGGAAGCCGAGACATTGCTTTGGTGTTTGGAAATTATTTGACAGCGCATGTGCGAATGTCGGAGCCGAAGTAGCACCCTTTTCCCGTTTAGGATCTAAAATGGAATATTTTAATTGTTATTTTCCGTCATAAAATTTGTTTTTTCATGCTGCTCGAAAAAATTCTGTGACAATACAATTAAATTCCATACATTGATTGCTTTGAAGTTGGCTTGGTAATTTCTTTTCCATTTATCAGATGTAGAGGAATTTGACCTTGCAGACATTGAAAATCTAAACTCAGAAAATATTCAAATCGTTTTACTCCAATGATGATTGAATAGTTTATTACGGCACTACACGCTAGATCAGTGGTTCCCAACCGGTGGGAAATTTTCCACTATTGGGAAATAGATGATCCTTCAAAAATGTACGCACAATAAGCTAATTAATAAATATTATCACAATATAGGCTATGCCATGAAGCAGTAAAAGATTGCTTGTTTCATCGATACAGACAAAGAAGTTTTCGTATTTCTCTGTTCTTTTTGAGATTATGTTCTACATCTTGACAAATTCAGCTTTTGATACAAACGAACCGACTGTGAAGCCAACTTACCAGCTGTATTTACAAGTATGTCCTTGACCCTTGCACCATCGTCATTGGGCTTGAGCTTTTTAGTGATCGAAACTTCATAGCTCAAAGTGAGCATACTGTCATTTGCGCTGCAAAAGGAAGTCGTGACATTTTCTATTTGGAGCGTATTTTTTTTCAACATCTCACATCTTTATTTTTCCGAGCTCCTCATTCCAATTCAGGATATTTAGTCATGTAGTGACGTTTTACATTTTCTTTTTTCGCAACTGCCAGCGAACTTTTGCACTTCGGGCAAAACGATTTCCGCCTT